TGCACCTGCGCTTGCTGGATGGTTGCGAGCGGTTGACGCGACGAGGCGTCGGCGACCAAGTTTTGTGTCCCACGTCGATAGTTGATATCGTACTGGAACTGCTGTAGTTCCAACGCCCATCGAGCTATCCGGCCACTTTCGGTGAGTACCTCGAATCTGTATCCCTCGAGGGGATATTGCATCGCATTTTGCGGATTGCCCAAACTATCGCAAGGCACTCTTTCTCCATTACGGAATAATTTTGATCGGCGTTGTTGAGCCGGCGACTGGCATAAGCGATGACTCGTTCTTGCTGCTCTATGGTTTGGGACAGCACGGCTCTAATACCATAGTCGCTAGCGTCGGTTTGGAGAACAAATTTCTTCTCGAAATCCGGGCAGGCAAGGATCGGGCCTTCCATCAACAGCTCTTTCAGTCCCTGGAAAGCCTGCCCCCACTTTCGGTCCTTCTTGAGGAGGGGGGATCGGGGATCGAGTGGTCGTGGGAGCGTACGGCTCGGAGATTACTTCCATTAACGAGTTTTCTGGCAAGGCGCTAGCTCATGAAGCTGTGCGAGACCCCCGTATCCAAGGTGGCGGTGAGGGATCGTCCCTCGACCGTAACCGTTCCGCGGATAAGGTTGTGATCTTGTAGGATCGTGGTTGTCAGTGTCTCTGAGCGTTCGAAGGGGTCCTCGGGTACCTCCCGGATACTCAAGGCCCTTGCCTTGCCTCAGTACCCGTTTCCCGGCGACTGGTTCCTGCAGCAGTCGATGGTTCGAATGCCCTGTCGGCCACAATGCCAGCAGAACACGATCCTGAGATTTCGACACCCTGTCGCGCTGTGTCCTTCCTGCCCGCAGTTGAGGCAGGCCCTGCTTGTGTTGATGCGTCCTGGTTGTGTTGTTGTGTTGATGCGTCGATGACGGATTCCGACGTGTGATGTCGGTTATTGCATTTGCCGGCCGTAGTTGCTGTGTCGGATGGACTGCTGAATATCCAATGTTCGTCCAGTTCCTCGGAGTCGAAGTGTTGCGTGGGTGTTCAGCGTCGGCTCGGCCGGTTGTGTAACCTCGGAGTGCTCGTCCTCCGCGTCTGCGTGTGACTTCAAAGTTAACGGCTGCGTTAACTCGGCCAGTGTATTGAAGTCCTGTCGCCGAGTGAACATCTGGTATTCTGGTAGCATATTCTCTTGTTCTCCTGAAATCCCTGCGCGTCTCATTTGTAGTTTGGGGTCGATGAGGTACTCCTTAAAAGGCTCGTTTGTTCTCTGGTATCTTAATCCAAACGTTGGTAAAAACGCGGCGGCAAAAAGAACTCGAGGAACTCTTGTCGTACCGCGGTCTATGTTTTTCCATGCAGACGGCTGGGTTGGAACCAATTTTCTGCTCGTTCGGTCAGCAGGACGATGAGGCAGGATGGGACAGATACCTCCTGTCGATCCGGTACGTATCATCCCGTTCCGTCAGATGCTCGATGAAGCTAAGCGGATCTGAGCTGCCGTTGAAAGTGAGTCCCCACTTAGTTACCTGGTCCATCAAGTTGTATTTTCCGACTTCCGAGTCGAAGGTGAAACGCTGCGTGGAATCGTGAGTGTGTGACTACCGCAGGGTTTCTCCGCATCGTGTGGTAGCGGGGACAGTGGTTTCGTATTCCCGGAAAGGGTGTTTCGGTATCGTAATTCCATGTCTCCCAGTTGGGCTAATATTGTGAGTGCTCTGGTTGTCGTGCGAATGCGTACAGCTGAGCTCGTTGCTCCAGCCGCCTGTGGGATTTCTAATAGGCATCACGGTTACTTTCGGTGAGCTTAGAGTAGGGTGAGCTCTCCATAGTGAGTGTTTTGTACTAGATGTTGACAATTGCTCAATGTAGCGTCGGTGGACATGTGCTTCTTCTTGCTGTAAAGCTTTTGTGAGTTGACGTGAGGCATATTTTAAGCTTTGCCTAGCTTTGCCTCTCGACGTAAGCGTCGCTTTTCGAGGACGATCTGTTCTATTTGTAGATTTGTCTTCTTTTTGTTGATTTGCGTACTTGTAGTTTGGGGTGTTGAAACTCGAGCTGCAGAGACGAGTACAGACTCCAGTATATTAACAAATCTGTCTACGTTGGCTTCATCGTTGAGAAGAGGCCTTAGCTCAATGTGTGAGCTAATGTATTTCTTGTACTTAACCCAATTGGTTTTCTGTGATGTCAATTTATACGATTGCTCCAGTGCGCCTGAATGTCGGAGTAGAATAAACAGGACAGGCGAGTGATCAGATGAAAGATCCGAGAGGAATTCGGCGCTTATCAGATTTTTAGGAATGTTTTTGGTAATTGCAATGTCTATTAAATCGGGTAGTTTTTTGGGTCTGCCGGCCAGTATGTTGGTCAGCCAGGAGAAACATAGTCCAGCTTGTTCTTGGCTTTTATAACTGCATTATATCGTCTTCAACTTCCAAAGGGAACAGTCGTGTTTTTTTCTGCGCTCCGGTTTTGTATTTTTGTTTCGTTTATTCCCATCGGTGGGTTTTATCAGAACAATTTTCATTTTCTTACAGTTAATTCAAACATATTTTTAAATTCCGTTCGCTTCGCGAGTGAACTATAAATCTTTGTGCACTCGTGTAATAACACTAAAAAATTGTTTTAATTTCGTAATTCTTTTCTGTGTTTTCTTTTCTTGTAATCTGGCGAGATTCTCTTTTGTGCGTTGACCGTCGTAAGTCGTAGTGCTGTTTTTAGTGTTGCTTTTGCATGCACTTTAACTAATTTATGCTCCCGCTCTCTTTGCTTTGAAACTTTTGTCCATTCCAAAGGTTCGTGAGTCGACGCGGGATTCCGGAGAAGGTGTGGTGCGACAACGCGACGAACTTTGTCGGAGCCGATCGCCACATGAGAGAGTTCCGGGCCCGTCTGGAGGAGCAGGGGGGCGGTATCGCAACATTCGCATTAAGAAAAGGATGCGAGTTTGCGTTCATACCGCCCAGAGCACCTCACTTCGGCGGACTTTGGGAGGCAGGTGTGAAGTCTGCAAAGCACCTGTTCCTTCGGTCGGTCGGCGAAGACATCCTGACCGCGGAGGAGCTCGGAACTCTCCTACAGGCCCCTCGGAGCGATCAGCACAGATCCCAAAGCCCTAAGCCCAGGCCATCTTCTGACCGGCGGGCCCCTCCTAGCTCCACCCTCAGCAGCGCTCCCGGACCAAGTAAGCCCAACCTGCTTACGACGATGGCGCAGTGTCTCGTGTCTCAGGCACAGGTTTTGGCAGCGATGGTCCCGGGAGTACGTCTCGAGCCTCCAGGCGAAAAACAAGGGGCACCAGGAGGTTGGAACCTCCTCGTCGACGTGGGAGCTCTCGTCGTCGTCGCCGAGGACAATCTTCCGCCGCAGCAGTGGATGAAACGGCGGATCGTGGCGGTGCACGTCGGCGCTGACGGCAAGGTCCGAGTGGCGGACGTGAGGACGAAGGATGCGACGTATCGCCGAGCGGTCCATACGCTGGCGGTGCTGCCTGTGGCATGCAAAAGTGTGCAACGCAGTGAAGGAGACATCTCCGACCCTATAAAGTATATATATTCTTGATCAGGATCACCTCCTGAGTTGATATACGCAAACTAGTCTCTCAGTTTTAAAGCTATCGAGTTCAAACTTTGCACACACCCTTCTTTCCTTTGCACGCAGTATATATGTCAGAACGGCCGGGATCGGCCGACTATATCCTATAGCTGCCATATAACTGATTGATCGGAAATGCCATAATTTTGGTGTTTGTAAAAATAGGAAGCTGGAATTTCCTATGGGTTTTATATTTGGCCAATCAATCCGACCTACCAAATTTCATAAGGATCGGCCGACTTTATCCTATAGCTGCCTGTTAGCGCACGCTAACCCTTGAAATAAATCATTGTAAACACTTCAATGTAAATAGCCTATAATCCAATGATTATTCCTATCTCACCATTCCTAAATAAGTAAAAACCAAAACTGGGGACTCGACCTTTACAAGAGTTTCCGGGCACTTCGAATAAAACGTTGACCAGAGAAGACAAAAGCTCCGCATTTTTTCTTAGTTTCCTGTAAAACTCATCGACTCTCTAGCTGTGGAACCGAGCGTTGTCCTCGGCATCCTCATCATCGTCAGCATCATCGAAGTCATCAACGACATCCTTACCGTCAGCATCAGCATCGACATCCCCTCTTCACCCATCACCGCAGGCAGCAGTTTCTACGAGCTGAGTCGGCAATTCGTCAACTCCAATCATCCACACAAGGCCACAGCAAGCAAGCTCCGCTACTTAGCTGTCACCTTTTCATGGTCCATCTCGCAAACATCGAATCATCGCCCTATTCCAAAAAAGGTAAATGATCGTGGCTAACCTACAAGCCACGTTAAAAAGAAATTTTACATTTTTTCCCTTAAGTACAATCAGGGTAACATCACCCTTACGGAAATAAATACAGTCCACAAGAATAATAAAGTACACAAACTCAAATAAGTTAAAAAGCCAGTCCCTTTGCACGGTATATTTTAATTTAAAAATCTGTCTCACATTTACACACACACCTGTAGTTACAGAACATAACTATTTCGGCTTCTTCGCGCTCAGTCAATTTTTTCGGTTGGCCTTTTTGCTTAATTGAGGCGACTCTTCCCTCATTTTTAAACCGTCGGACGATGTCACCAACCGTATTCGGCTTCATCTCCAGGATTTTGGCAGTTTCCTTGTAAGTTTTGCCCTCTAAATGCAGTTGGAGAACGAGTTTTCGCTGCTCCAAGGACGAATTTTTGCTCTTACGGCCCATCTTAAATTTTGGAGCTAAAACTTAGTATATTGGTCTGTTTGCTTCAATTATTGACACATAGATGTTGGCTTTTCTGGGAAACCCATTTTGCGGGCTAATTTTTGGGTATTCGGAGTTGCCACAGGGTTTTTTTTGACGACTTTCAAAAATACCGAATACTAAAGTAACGCAAATTTTGAGCTTTTTTTTGTTTACATATGTTTCTTCTGTAAATTTTAAATAAAGTCTCAATATATATATACCTATGAAAAGGTAATATTACCAACTTTAATACCACATTAAAAAAAAATTGTTTTTTCTTAGTCTTGTACATTTTATTTGCTTTTGAAGTTTAAAAAACAAAAAACCGAATATTAATGAGATCCACTGTACGTGCATTATTGCACGCTCACACTAAAACATTATTACACACACTACAACATAACCACGTGCATAAGTACCCTCGCACACTTGAACATTATTACACTCAAGCCAATAAATATTTTGTGAATTTTAATAAAAAAGAAAAGTCCCTCTGCCATATAAATGCATTTATCAGAAGAAACTCAGTTGGTTTATTAATTAACAATCTCGCTCTATAAAATCACACTCCGTCGCAGTTGCAAAAGGTTCAACAGCGGGCACTTTCAGTTTAGGGTTCGCAGGTTCACATCATAAGTTATCCGTCGCAGTTGCAAAAGTTGCAAAAGCGTGCACTTTCAGTTTAGTGTTCGCAGGTTCACATCACAAGTTTATCCGTCGCAGTTGCAACAGCGGACACTTACAGTTTAGTGTTCGCAGGTTCACATCACAAGTTTATCCGTCGCAGTTGCAACAGCGGGCACTTACAGTTTAGTGTTCGCAGGTTCACATCACAACATTAATAACCATCTTGAACAGGAAAAACACCAATTTAACTTAATCACACTTATTTCGAACAATACACACGCCATAGACTATAGTTTAAGCAATTATTATAGGCTTGCCCACATCAAGAGTGATAAGGCCAGTTTCGAACACCACCAAAGTGTAGGAAACAAGGTTAAGTAAATCTGTAATTAGACATATTCCATTCTACTATTCAATATTCGCTCTCAATCATAACACAAGCCTCCGGCTAGTCCTTTCGCTCTCAATCATAACACAAGCCTCCGGCTAGTCCTTTCGCTCTCAATCATAACACAAGCCTCCGGCTAGTCCTTTCGCTCTCAATTCGCTCACACAATCAGAAAAATGACTGAATATCGGGCATTCAACTTCTCAAAAAACCGTTTTCTTCAGTTTTGCGAAAAAGCCCAAACAGAACAGAGACAACCGTAAAAGAATGCATAGCTCGTGTAGACACTTTGTTTGAGCAGGTTGATCGAGATTTCAAAACCGCTTCAACCTCAGGCGAAGAAAACGACGAACTAGCGGATGTCGCAACACAGCATTTCAACGTATGTGAAGACGAGTTGTTCCGCGTCAAAGCTTCTCTCAAAGGGTTTCTTGTCGAGAGTTCAGTTGTTAATCCATCTCCAAATCAGAGCAACCTAAGCGGATTTGGCAACGAGCTCCCTAACTCAAGTCACATTAAGGTTCCACCATGTGACACAGAGCCATTCCATGGCAACTATGAAGACTGGCCCTCGTTCAGGGACATGTTTACAGCAGTCTACACCAATCATCCCAAGCTTACATTAGCCCAAAAGCTTTATCACCTGCGAGATAAAACGCATGGGGAAGCAGGCACAATTGTAAAGCGCTTTCCCTTATGCGATGAAAATTTTTATCCAGCATGGGATGCGCTGAGCACAAGATTCGAAAACAAAAGACTCATTGTAGATATCCAACTCAAAAACATTTTCGATTTAAAACGAATTGGTTCCGAAGATAGCAAGGATATCCAGAAATTCCAAGCTACCATTACGAGCTGCCTGGCAGTTTTATCAGCGCAGCAAGTCTCCACCGCCGACTGGGATCCCTTCCTAGTATACCACACCTCATCCAAATTACCTCAGCAGACACTCTCCCTATGGGAACAGTCACTAGAATCCAGGAAAGAATTGCCTACATGGTCCCAATTAACATCCTTCCTTACGTCCCGTATAGAAGTACTTGAACGTCTGTCCGCAATTAATCCAATAAACAATTTTGTTCCAACCCAGGCAAAATTTCACACCAAAATTCCCGCGTTAGCTCACGCAGCTACTACAGACACTTCATGCAAATACTGCAAAAGTTCACACCACATACGCCAACGTGCAGAATTTAAAAATCTGTCACCCAAAGACCGCTATCAAGTTGCAAAAACAGCAAAAATATGCATCAATTGTTTGGCTTCCAACCACGCAATAAACGAATGCAAAAGTTTAAAAACATGCATCACATGCAATAATCGACATCATACTCTGCTGCATTTCCCGCCTCGACAGCAAGAATCCCAGGTAGTCGACGCACACTACGCGGGTCAAAATCCGAACGTGATATTACCCACCGCGATAGTCTACATTCCCTATAAAGGCGAACTTATTCGCATGCGAGCTTTGATCGACCCAGGCTCCCAAAGGTCATTTATCAGTGAAAAGGCTCGAAAACGCGTCAGTTTGCCGACCATAAAATGCCACTCAAATATTTCAGGGATCGGAGGTCATTACGTCAGCTCATCGTCCAAAATATGCAAATTTAAACTCACCAACGGGGAAGATCGGTGCTCTATACCAGTTGAGGCTATCGTACTCAAACGACTAACCAATCTTCTCCCGTCTGTTTCCGTTACGAAACCAAAATCCCCAAGTCTAGATCAATTAAATCTGGCAGATCCCAACTTTTCAACCGCTGCAGAAATTGACATAGTACTGGGAAGCGACATCACTCCCCAGATATTTCTAGAAGGCATAACAACGCCCCTAGACAACAATCTACTCGCTCAGCTCACGGTGTTCGGGTGGTTAATTAGTGGTCCACTCCCCAACACCTCCACAGCCTATGCTTTTTCAACTCTAGTGGAAGAAGACACAGCAGACGTAGGAAACCAGCTACAAAAATTTTGGGAACTCGAAGAAATATCCGTAGCCAAAACCGTAACCGAGGTGGACGAAAATTGAGAAACCCATTACGTCAACACTACTCAAAGGTTACCGGATGGTAGATATATGGTGCGCCTCCCGTTCAATAGTGAATTCCCCAATACCATGTCCCTAGGTTCTTCCAGAAATATCGCTATGGGGCAATACGCTCGGCTCTACAAAACATTGCTTAAAGACGAGGCCATAAATTTGGAATACTCCCGAGTCCTTCAAGAGTACATTGACCTAGGTCACATGACAGAAGTTCCACCCATGGAAATCATTCAGAAAAATCAATATCTCTCGTTTTACCTTCCTCACCATGCGGTCGTCCGGCCCGAAAGTAAATCCACCAAATTACGCGTGGTATTTAACGCATCGCGTAAAACCCATTCTCAATTTGCATTAAACGATGTTCTCCATAAAGGCCCCGTCCTCCAAGGGGACCTTTTAGGCATCTTACTCAATTGGAGACTGTACAAATTCGTGTTTAACGGCGACATTGAAAAAATGTACAGGCAAATTTTAGTCCATCCGGACGATCGCCCATTCCAGCGTCTAATATTCCGTCCCAAACAATCAGCAATCATGAAAGATTTCCAGCTGAATACGGTCACATTCGGGGTAAACTGCGCTCCATTCCTAGCAATTCGCACGCTGCAACAGCTAGCTACGGACTGCAAAGAAAAATACCCTAGGGCAAGCCAAATCCTGCTCCAGGAAACTTATGTCGACGACATACTTGCCGGTGCTCACACTCTCGAGGACGCAAAAAATGCCCAAAGCCAACTTATTGCGTCGCTAAAATCCGCAGGATTTCTCCTCAAAAAGAACACTGCAAATCACATCAAGCTGTTGGAGAATATAGCTGTTGCAGACCGGTTAGATACCGAATTTTTGGAGGTGTCCGAAGCAAGTACGACCAAGACGCTAGGAATAAAATGGGACGCACAGAATGACGTGTTCCAATACAATATAAAAGCACCCACTCCATGCAAAACAATCACCAAAAGAGCAATGCTATCCCACGCATCCACTTTGTTTGACCCGGCAGGATGGCTTACGCCTATCGTAATCCACGCGAAACTGCTGCTCCAATCCCTTTGGAAAGAAGGTCAAGACTGGGACGAGTGTGTCAAGCCAACTACATTGACCACTTGGAACAAATTTCTCGAAGTTTTACCATATATAAAGACCATCAGCATACCCAGATGGGTAGGATACGAGCCAACGCAAGACATCCAATTGCATGGATTTTCGGACGCATCAGAAAAAGCATATTGTGCCGCAATATACATTCGATCTAGTTACGCTGAATCACCCGCCCAATCCCATTTATTAGTTGCTAAAACCAAGGTTGCGCCACTCAAAGCAGTAAGCTTGTCGCGCTTAGAATTATGCGGCGCACATCTCTTGGCACGGCTAGTGCAACATACATTCAAGACAACGCAACTTCCCGAGCTAAAAACCTTCTTGTGGTCGGATTCCACCATAGTCCTAGCATGGCTGGAAAAACCACCAGGTACATGGAAAACGTTTGTCGCAAATCGTACGGCCGCCATACAAGAAAAAACTCACAATGCCAAATGGAGCCACGTAAAATCCCACGATAACCCGGCCGACTTAGGCACCCGCGGCTGTACCCCCACCGAACTCAAAGACTCGCTATTATGGTGGCACGGGCCAAAATGGCTATCAATCCCAGAGGAAAATTGGCCTTGCAGCCAAGCTCCTGCTATCACTCCTCCAGAACAGAAGAAGGTTCAGCAGTTTTTCACGGAATCTGAAAACTGTGATATATGTGAACAATTCACGACTTACTCGCGGGCACTACGAGCAACAGCACGAATTATGCGTTGGTATCAAGCAAATCCCGCAACTCCCAAGGACAGTGCTCTCCAAATCAAAGACGCCAAAACTAGGCTTATTATAGCAGCACAACGCCTTTTCTATCCAAAAGAATATGATCAGTTACTCAGCCAACATCCTATCTCCAACAAAAGCAAGTTAAGTACTTTATGCCCAATCATTGATTCCGTTGGGCAAATTAGAATCAATAGTAGATTAGCCAACGCAAACATACCCTACAAGGAACGATTTCCCATACTATTACCACCCAAATCGAAACTTACCACCCTGTTTATCGACTTCATCCACAGCACTCTTCTTCATGCTCAAAACCAGCTGATGCTAAGAGCGATTCGGCAAGAATTCTTTGTCCCCAAACTAGCCAATCTCGTTAAGGCATCTATTCGCAAATGTATAACATGTACGCGTTTTAAACAAGTCACAAAAAATCAAATTATGGCCGCACTTCCCCCGAAAGAACACAATTTTCTCCCGCGTTCACTATAACCGGAGTTGACTTCGCGGGTCCATTTAATTTAAAAGCCTCCAATATACGAACCAAGGTAGTTCTCAAAGGCTACGTTTCCGTGTTCGTATGTTTCTCCACTAAAGCGGTCCACTTGGAAGCCGTCTCAGAACTTAGTTCAAAGGCATTCTTGCAAGCATTCGAACGTTTTGTCAGCCGTAGAGGCATCCCAAAAAAGGTTGTGTCAGACAATGGCCGAAATTTCCTTGGCGCCAGTAGAGAACTGACAAAAAACTTCGCAGAGTTCATGAAATCTGCAATTGATCATGTTTCCAGCCTTTACAGCAGTCGTGAACTAGAGTGGCAATTCATACCCCCCCACGCTCCCCATATGGGTGGACTCTGGGAAGCTGCTGTTAAGAGCTTCAAAAAGCATTTCACTCGAACCGCAGGTACCAGAATATTCACATTCGAGGAGTTTGCCACATTACTTGCGAAAATAGAGGCCGTTCTTAATTCTCGTCCGCTATGCATACCCAGATCCAATGTTGAAGACTTACTGCCACTAACTCCGGGTCATTTCCTTCGAGGAGCACCGTTGACGGCGCTTCCTGAAAATCCCAACGAATCTCTCTCCATACTAAACCGTTGGCAGAAGCTAAAACTTCTTCATCAAGAATTCAGCACCCGATGGCGACATGAATACCTTCATGAACTCCACCGAAGGTATAAATGGAAGCAACCAAAAGCCAACCTTTCAGTTAATGACATCGTCATTATCAAGGACGACGCCTGCCCACCCACGCATTGGCGTCTTGGAAGAGTCATACACTTACATCCAAGCAAAGACCAAAATACGCGCACAGTGGACCTCCAAACCCAAAGTGGACCGCTCACGCGACCCATTGTAAAACTCGTGCCTCTCCCAATCAAAGACAACTCGTCCTCGGTTGAACAATAACCGAAATCCCACCCCATTCTCTCTATCTCTCTGTTAAAGTTGTCTCATTTATACCCCCATACTAATTCCGTAATTAATTCCGTAGATGTACAAGTGCCGCATGTGCCACAAAGGTCATCCTTTGCGCGTATGCGCTAAATTCATCAAGCTGAGCATCCTGGAACGCCGTCGCGCCGCACGAAGAATGGGCTACTGCTCAAATTGCCTGGCCACCACACATCGCGTGCATCAATGCGATTCCAAAGAGGAGTGTCACAAGTGTGGAGACCTGCATCACACTTTGCTGCACCACGGCTACACCACCACGGAAGCTCCAGAAGCATCAAAGAAGGAAGGACATCAACCGCGCAGCCCACGAAAGGACAGCTCTTCACCAAGCATCAACCGACCCGTTCGAGCGAGTCGTTCCAAAACAAGGAACACTTCCGAACGCCGCCCTCCGAGACGCAGTATCTCACCATCTCAGACGCTTCACCAGCTGCAGGAAGCCATCAAAAGCCTAACCAAGCTTAAAACCGCCATCCGGCAGGGGGGCGGCATGTTAGCGCACGCTAACCCTTGAAATAAATCATTGTAAACACTTCAATGTAAATAGCCTATAATCCAATGATTATTCCTATCTCACCATTCCTAAATAAGTAAAAACCAAAACTGGGGACTCGACCTTTACAAGAGTTTCCGGGCACTTCGAATAAAACGTTGACCAGAGAAGACAAAAGCTCCGCATTTTTTCTTAGTTTCCTGTAAAACTCATCGACTCTCTAGCTGTGGAACCGAGCGTTGTCCTCGGCATCCTCATCATCGTCAGCATCATCGAAGTCATCAACGACATCCTTACCGTCAGCATCAGCATCGACATCCCCTCTTCACCCATCACCGCAGGCAGCAGTTTCTACGAGCTGAGCCGGCAATTCGTCAACTCCAATCATCCACACAAGGCCACAGCAAGCAAGCTCCGCTACTTAGCTGTCACCTTTTCACTGCCATATAACTGATTGATCGGAAATACCATAACTTTGGTGTTTGTTAAGTTAGGAAGTTGGGATTTTCTATGGCTTTTATTTTTGGCCAATCAATCCGACCTATCAAATTTCATAAGGATCGGCCGACTATATCCTATAGCTGCCATATAACTGAACGATCGGAAATGCCATAACTTTGGTGTTCTTAAAGTTAGGAAGTTGGGATATTTTATAAGTATTAAGAATGCATCATATGAATAATTTTGGAGAATATAATATATAGAGTATTCTGCAAGGGTATATCAACTTCGGCTCCGCCCGAAGTTAGCTTTCCTTTCTTGTTTGTCATGATATTTGTTGAATAGTGTAAGGCGTGAGCGGGAGCGCAATAAAGCTTTAATCGCTCTCGCGAATTCGCCCCGTCTCTCGTCCCTTCGTTAAGTTAGGCTTAAGCGTTTGTATAATGAAATTATAGAGTCAGTGTTAAATCGAATCCGATCAAGATCGCACTCCTTTTCGTCGCATTCGACGAAAAAAAAATATTCAATCGTGTTCGACCGATATTGCGCGGTCTGGCAAGTATGTGACGGCCGTTAAGTTTTTTGAAAATTTGGTGGCGTCGATATTTGTCTGCCTGACCTTTCTGCTCCATATCGTTGCCACTGTCTTCGTCACCGTCTTGGTGGTAGGGCTTCAAATTGTTGATACTCGCCGATCGGCGAGTGGCTCCTGTGGTCGAACTATGTTTGGGGACCTTAACTTTACGACCTTGTAGGGCCCGTCGTATTTTGCGGATAGCTTAGCAGCAAATCCCTCTGCAGCGTTGGATTACGCATGTCGGCGCACGAAAACAAGAGCGCCCTGAGCTGGCCTCCATTCTCGTCGTCGCAAATTGCCGCTCGTCGCCAAGATATTCCGCTATTATGGTCTTTACGGTGCGGTTAGATTTCTCTGTAGGGTTCTGTTGGGGGTATGTGTAATTCCATTCTCAGGATTTAAAAAAATCCTGGAAGGTTTTGGGAATAAAGAGTATTCGGGATTCCGAATCGGCTGCGGATCCGTTCTCGGAAGGCTCGCTCCAAATACGGCACTGTGGCCCGTCGCAAGGGGATTAGTTCGACCCACTTGCTCAATGAGTCCAGGAATAATAAGGAGAACCGTATTCCCTTGTTTTGATCGCGGGAGTGGGCACACGAAGTCGGCGCAGAGGATCTGGTAAGGTCCGTCGACCTGTCGTGTGAACATTTTTCCAGCTGCCTTCTCCTGTGTAACCTTGAAGCGTTGGCAGCTCGTAGCAGCACGTAGACGGCTACTTCTCTAAACAGTCCGGGCCAGTAATATTTTTGGGCACCCGAGTACATGTTTTTCGTACGCCCAGGTGCCCGGCGGTTGGAAACTAGTGCCCACACACAGCTTCCAGGGGGTATAATCTTCCTCTTCCGGACGCAAGCCTATACGTCGGTATAGCTGTCCGTTCACCTCGCGGTAGTCGGGATACTTTGCGGGTTCCTGCTGAATCCGGCATCTTGTTGATCCATTTGCAAGTGTTGTCCTGCACCTGCGCTTGCTGGATGGTTGCGAGCGGTTGACGCGACGAGGCGTCGGCGACCAAGTTTTGTGTCCCACGTCGATAGTTGATATCGTACTGGAACTGCTGTAGTTCCAACGCCCATCGAGCTATCCGGCCACTTTCGGTGAGTACCTCGAATCTGTATCCCTCGAGGGGATATTGCATCGCATTTTGCGGATTGCCCAAACTATCGCAAGGCACTCTTTCTCCATTACGGAATAATTTTGATCGGCGTTGTTGAGCCGGCGACTGGCATAAGCGATGACTCGTTCTTGCTGCTCTATGGTTTGGGACAGCACGGCTCCAATACCATAGTCGCTGGCGTCGGTTTGGAGAACAAATTTCTTCTCGAAATCCGGGCAGGCAAGGATCGGGGCTTCCATCAACAGCTCTTTCAGTCCCTGGAAAACCTGCTCCCACTTTCGGTCCTTCTTGAGGAGGGGGGATCGGGGATCGAGTTGTCGTGGGAGCGTACGGCTCGGAGATTACTTCCATTAACGAGTTTTCTGGCAAGGCGCTAGCTCATGAAGCTGTGCGAGACCCCCGTATCCAAGGTGGCGGTGAGGGATCGTCCTTCGACCGTAACCGTTCCGTTGTGATCTTGTAGGATCGTGGTTGTCAGTGTCTCTGAGCGTTCGAAGGGGTCCTCGGGTAGCTCCCGGATACTCAAGGCCCTTGCCCGTTTCCCGGCGACTGGTTCCTGCAGCAGTCGATGGTTCGAATGCCCTGTCGGCCACAATGGCTGTGTCCTTCCTGCCCGCAGTTGCGGCAGGCCCTGCTTGTGTTGATGCGTCCTGGGGATTGGAGTCCCTGAAGATGCGTCGATGACGGATTCCGACGTGTGATGTCGGTTATTGCATTTGCCGGCCGTAGTTGCTGTGTCGGATGGACTGCTGAATATCCAATGTTCGTCCAGTTCCTCGGAGTCGAGTGTTGTGTGGGTGTTCAGCGTCGGCTCGGCCGGTTGTGTAACCTCGGAGTGCTCGTCCTCCGCGTCTGCGTGTGACTTCAAGGTTAACGGCTGCGTTAACTCGGCCAGTGTATTGAAGTCCTGTCGCCGAGTGAACATCTGGTATTCTGGTAGCACATTCTCTTGTTCTCCTGAAATCCCTGCGCGTCTCATTTGTAGTTTGGGGTCGACGAGGTACTCCTTAAAAGGCTCGTTTGTTCTCTGGTATCGAAATCCAAACGTTGTTTTTCCATGCAGACGGCTGGTTTGGAACCAATTTTCTGCTCGTTCGGTCAGCAGGACGATGAGGCAGCATGGGACAGATACCTCCTGTCGATCCGGTAAGTATCATCCCGTTCCGTCAGATGCTCGATGAAGCTAAGCGGATCTGAGCTGCCGTTGAAAGTGAGTCCCCACTTAGTTACCTGGTCCATCAAGTTGTATTTTCCGACTTCCGAGTCGAAGGTGAAACGCTGCGTGGAATCGTGAGTGTGTGACTACCGCAGGGTTTCTCCGCATCGTGTGGTAGCGGGGACAGTGGTTTCGTATTCCCGGAAAGGGTGTTTCGGTATCGTAATTCCATGTCTCCCAGTTGGGCTAATATTGTGAGTGCTCTGGTTGTCGTGCGAATGCGTACAGCTGAGCTCGTTGCTCCAGCCGCCTGTGGGATTTCTAATAGGCATCACGGTTACTTTCGGTGAGCTTAGAGTAGGGTGAGCTCTCCATAGTGAGTGTTTTGTACTAGATGTTGACAATTGCTCAATGTAGCGTCGGTGGACATGTGCTTCTTCTTGCTGTAAAGCTTTTGTGAGTTGACGTGAGGCATATTTTAAGCTTTGCCTAGCTTTGCCTCTCGACGTAAGCGTCGCTTTTCGAGGACGATCTGTTCTATTTGTAGATTTGTCTTCTTTTGGTTGCTTTGCGTACTTGTAGTTTGGGGTGTTGAAACTCGAGCTGCAGAGACGAGTACAGACTCCAGTATATTAACAAATCTGTCTACGTTGGCTTCATCGTTGAGAAGAGGCCTTAGCTCAATGTGTGAGCTAATGTATTTCTTGTACTTAACCCAATTGGTTTTCTGTGATGTCAATTTATACGATTGCTCCAATGCGCCTGAATGTCGGAGTAGAATAAACAGGACAGGCGAGTGATCAGATGAAAGATCCGAGAGGAATTCGGCGCTTATCAGATTTTTAGGAATGTTTTTGGTAATTGCAATGTCTATTAAATCGGGTAGTTTTTTGGGTCTGCCGGCCAGTATGTTGGTCAGCCAGGAGAAACATAGTCCAGCTCCGGTTTTGTATTTTTGTTTCGTTTATTCCCATCGGTGGGTTTTATCAGAACAATTTTCATTTTCTTACAATTAATTCAAACATTCTTTTAAATTCCGTTCGCTTCGCGAGGGAACTATAAATCTTTGTGCACTTGTGTAATAACACTAAAAAATTGTTTTAATTTCGTAATTCTGTTCTGTGTTTTCTTTTCTCGTAATCTCGCCGTTTCTCTTTTGTGCGTTGACCGTCGTAAGTCGTAGTGCTGTTTTTAGTGTTGCTTTTGCATGCACTTTAACTAATTTATGCTCCCGCTCTCTCGCTCTCTTTGCTTTGAAACTTCTAAGCGTGCAGTTTCTGCGCTCTTGCGGTACTTATAACTGCTCTGTTATAAATTTCGATTCGTTTTCTTGGTATAGTGGTTCTAATAGATAGTAGTGAATAATAATAATTTAGTCTGCTTCTGCAAAAAATTCAGCCTCGTAATCAGGGCTGACCAGTCTAATATGACTTTCTGGCTGTGTAAAAATATAGTGCACACTAAGTGCGCCGGTTTTACTGGCCGGACAAGTGATGACCTTTCAAGGGGCCCAATTTGCAGTTTTGTTGTGATGCTTGTGTCGAGGTTGCGAACGAGTTGCGCCGAGCTGATGATCTCCTCTCTGCGCTGGATTCGCAGTTTAATAGTCGTAAGCTATTAGAAGAGTCCGCTAAGCGCAAAAAGGCCGATGGTGGTAAGCAGCAAAAGGGGACACCCCGCAACCGAAAACAAAAGAACAACAGTGCATTCCGGCGGATCAGCAGCTGATTGCAGCAAACCCTTAAATGTTACTAAGATCAGCAGCTAAAAAAGATTCGGTATCCGAACAATCCGTAACAGAATGCATGCAACCAGGGACTTTTAAGAATTCCGATTTGTCCGTAGTGAATTCACAATTAGTGGATCCACATATCTCTCAGAATGTAGCATCACCACCCAAAGGGACTACTGATTCCGGACAACCGGCTCAAGTTGGTTTTTCAGAAACAATGTCTGCTCCACCAAAATCCCATTCTGTGGTTCCACTACAGAAACAAATTTTCGTTTCTCGGCTTTCCCCTGATCAAACATCTTCTGATGTATTGTCTTATATACAAGACAAAACTAAAGCCGATTGTAATAGTGTAAAGGTGGAAAAGTTTAAGTTTTCTTTTGCTAGAGACATTTCATCTTTCAAGATAACTGTCCTTAACGAGCTTTTTG